GACCACAGAGCGGGAGAAGTGTGCATATAAATAGGTCATTTGTATGTGAGGGTGTTAGATTAGAGGTTTTGGTTATGTTAAACACCTAGGTGCTTATTAAATATTGAAGTTATTTTTAAACTTGAACTTTTAATTTGGAAGATAAATTATAAAGAATTAGAACCAAGCTTCAAGTGGAAGAAAGCAATTAACAATAGTAAAATGTGTTTTGTTTAGATACCATCACTTAAAATAGAAGATACAGTATTTCATGTATTTGATAAAGTTAAAGTGAAAATCATGTTAGACTCATCCAATCTTCAGCATCAGAAAATCCGAATGTCCCTGGTAGAACCACAGGTAAGACCAGACTTACACTGTTCATGTTGTGGTGGAATAAACAGTACATATTTTGTGAAATGAGTGATACAGTCCTGAGGTATTTGTTTAGTTATAGAATCTTAAAAGTTGTGTGCAGGACAGGTATCTACAGAGGAAATCCTGTTTTCTCACTGATTTCCCTAGGCTGCAGGAACCCAGGCACCTGGGCTGCTTCTGAGTTCCTTGGTTCCACAAATGGAATCCTGAGATCTGCCTAGTTCTTCTTCATTTTTACCAGTTTTGAAATCTGCACTTTTGAAAAGCAGTTTAAAGTGTGATTCACCCTAAGACATTGGATCTCAACCTTGGTTCTGCCCCCACCACACCTGAGGCCTGTAAGGCTGACAGTGGCTCTCAGTGGGAGAAGCTGAATGTGTTATGGCTAAACACACGCTTTCCAAATGACAGGCTTCTGTCTGTTGAGATCATGTCTGCTGTTAAATCCTGAACCGCTATTCCTTTGTATGTGATATACATACATTTGTACATTGTGTGGAAAACCTACTGTTTCTCCTTGCCTCCACCATCCCTCCATCTTTTTGAACCTCAAAGTGTCAGTGAAGAAGAGGAAGATTAGATGGAGGTTTCTTCCTTACGTTATGCTTTTACTCACCTGTTCTTCCCATTTCGCATTACTTTAGATACCAGGAATAAGCGTTTCAGCTGATGCTTCAAACATGGACATTAATGAACCAGAGAGAAAGAAGAAGAAGCTTCAAAAATAGCTACAGTCAACAACAACAAAAAAGCTTCAAGGATTGGTTTCCTTTAAAACAAAAAGAATCTTGAGAGAACACTTGTAAACCTAAGAAGTGTCTGATACAGTTTGTTACTTCTAAGTACATTTTAATAATTTTTAAAATTTGCATTTTTATTGAACTGTTGACTGTGTCTGTCCCATCATACTGCTTTCTTTCAGGATTAAAGAACTATTTATGCAGAAAAACTCAATTGAATAACCATCACTTACATAGTGGCAGGACAGCAACCGAGGGATCTGTGAAGATCTCTGAAAGGGAGCACTCACCTGCTCACTGAAGAGGAGATGAGTCTTGCATAATTTGATTATCTACTATTGACAGAAAAAAACTAATTTTCCTATGGAGAAAATATAACATTTTTAGAAGCAAGGAACAATCTTAAGTCTTGAAAGCTGTCACTGTATGGGATGGCAATTTTTAGATTTCAAGACAGTGAAGTCAAGAGCTGTCAGGGAATTCAGCCTGTAATTTCCTCTGCCATCTTTAATTTACCTCATATTAGGGCGTCCCAGGTGGCATCGTAGTAAAGAATCTGCCTGCCAATGCAGGAGACTCAAGAGACGTGGGTTCAGTCCCCGGGTTGGGAAGATCCCCTTGAGGAGGAAATGGCAACCCACTCTCAGTATTCTTGCCTGGGAAATTCCATGGACAGAGGAGCCTGGTGGGCTACAGTCAGTGGGGCAGGAGGTGGTGGGGGAAGGGTCACAATGAGTCGAACATGACTGAGCAACTTGCACACAATGGCCACAACTTACATTGTGTTCCTCTACTATTAAAAACCTGGATTTTATTAGTGGTCCCTAAACAGGTGTGCAGATGGTGACTGCAGCCATGAAATTAAAAGACGCTTACTCCTTGGGAGGAAAGTTATGACCAACCTAAACAGCATATTAAAAAGCAGAGACATTACTCTGCCAACAAAGGTCCATCTAGTCAAGGCTATGGTTTTTCCAGTAGTCATGTATGGATGTGAGAGTTGGACTGTGAAGAAGGCTGAGAGCCGAAGAATTGATGCTTTTGAACTGTGGTGTTGGAGAAGACTCTTAGAGTCCCTTGGACTGCAAGGAGATCCAACCAGTCCATCCTAAAGGAGATCAGTCCTGGGTGTTCATTGGAAGGACTGATGCTGAAGATGAAACTCCAATACTTTGGCCCCCAAAGAAGTGACTCACTGGAAAGGACCCTGATGCTGGGAAATACTGAAGGCAAGAGGAGAAGGGGATGACAGGATGAGACGGTTGGATGGCATCACCGATGCCATCGATGGACATGATTTTGGGTAAACTCCGGGAGTTGGTGATGGACAGGGAGGCCTGGAGTGCTGCAATTCATGGGGTCGCAAAGAGTCGGACACAACTGAGCGACTGAACTGAAATAGATGTGACTGGGAATTTGGTGAAGGAAGGTGAAGTAGAATATTATCTGACTGGGAAAATAGTTACTTTTTTTAATACCAGATAAGTGTGATCATCAATCCTTGACCTTCAGTTCGGATATCTCCCTGAAAATAACACATTAGGATTCAAAGAAAGCTTAGAGATGGCACTTTAAATGTCACAGCATGTTACTTATAAAAAGGGCTTATAAAATTGCATATATATATATATATCAGATTATGCAGGGAAGGAGGGGTTGTATGAGGTCTGACTGAACTGTTGCTGTCTGGTGTGCCAGTAACAACTGCTTTGTCAACCACAAAGATTATTAATGATAAAGTCAGTATTTCCAAGAATATTTTGGGATAGAGATACCCTAAAACATTTCACTTTGCTCATTCAATTTCCAAAGTACTGACAGTGTACCAAGCTTGTCACCAGTCAAGCAAACGATCTCCGCCGGAGCTTGCAGGGCACTGAGGGAGAAGACTATTGCACACACCGGCAGGTGTAGTAAGTGGGAGCAGTGACAAGATGTACAGTCACCCAGGCACGCAGTGATTGTAAATACATTACTGACCCAGGGATTTCTGCAGAAACGACTGCCTGTGGCCAGCAATTTGTTACGGAAGTGAATATTGAAACATTCCAGGTAACAAAAGATGTACTAATATAGCTCTGGTCAATAAGTTGATAAAATGATTGTTCCCATTTCCTGGGACTGAGGAAAACATCCATCCAGTGTGGCAGAATTTTTTCAGTCAGAAGAAAAGAGCCTTGAGTGAACTGACCCCCAGCGTGCCGGTCAGCAAGCCTTGTCTATAAAGGCCAGTCATGTCAGCCCCCACCAGCCGGGTGGTTTGTGTCTCTACCCTTCTGCTCTTGCAGCGAGAAGGCAGCCATGGACTGCTCTCTGTTGATGTAAACAAATGAGCATGGCTACCTTCCAACCTGACTTACACATGGGGAAATTTAAATTTCATGATTTTCATGTGTTTAACAAAACTGATTGCCACGCTGCACCTCTCCCAACCATTTAAAGATTCTTTGCTCATAGGCCGTGGTCTCCCTACGGGTGAGGAAAAGGGAGGTTTCAGGTTAAAACAAGGCTACACTGACCTCATATATCTCTTTCCAGACTTCTTCTCTTGTGCCTCTTTTATAAGGAAGGCCTAATTCAGGCTCTAGTCCCTATTAAGTAGCTCAAAATGACCAGGAACCTTATTTTCACCCTTGAAGCCTCTTCCTTGATAATCTAAGATGCTTCAAATGCCATTTCTTACGGTAAGCAGCATAAATGAAATATTTCATTTAAAAGGCCCTGTTGGATAAAGACTATCATCTCCATGTAACAAACAGGTAAGAAACTGATAGAGGTTTATGGCCTGTTTCGGGTAATTAAGTGACAGAGGAGGGACTTGAATTCAAGCTATAATCACAGCTACATTTTTTCTTGCCTTGTGCTATTAAAAAAGCACAACCAAGGAAGTCCTACTCCTGGGATCTAGAATTCCTCTTATGTATGATTGTTTTAAGTTTCCATGACCCCCTGGAGAAGGCAATGGCAGCCCACTTCGGTATTCTTGCCTGGGAAATCACATTGACAGGAGCCAGGCAGGCTACAGTCCATGTGGTTGCAAAGAGTCGGACAGGACTGAGCCACACACATAACGCGAAAGCCTGTGATTGAGGACTGGACTTCCTAACGACTAATCAGCAGTGGGAACTAATGGCTGCCGGCTTTAATGGTTAGTGTACTGAGGGGAGGATAAGCCAGGTACACGGCAGGAAATGAGCCTTGCAGGCTGGCAGGAACTTCCAGGTGGACAGGAGGAAGGCAGGATGTGACACAATGAGAGGAGGTCTTTATTTTCTAGGGCTGCATGTGAATTATTCCTTAAATGAGACAGTTTTTAAAAGGTGATTTGTAAAATCTGAGTATACATTCTCCAGAGGTAAAGAATATTTCCCTCTAAAATTATATACCCATTCTACTGTGAACATGAATACAAAGTTTGTAAATTCCCTTCTCAATCAGATTTATTGCTTTCACAAAGGTTATAAATTTGAATTCATCTGTATATTCATATACTTTTATGTAAAATAAAACGTAGCACCTTCACAGTTCCATACCTTCCCAGACTAATGCTAAGTCAGTACTGTCAGTAAGGCTCACTAAGCAGCAGTTCATCGACCCTGCACAGGACTGAAGCAAAGTTATCACTCAAGTTTTTATTAAACACATCACTCAACGTCAATATAAAAATATTTATTGATAAAAAACCGAACCTGTACTGAAGTAACTTGTTGAAAGTTCCAGGAGCTTTTCTGTTGCTTCTGTGTCACTGAATTAAGCCCTTGATTTTTCACATTAAGGAGGGAAAGAAAAAAGCTCAGCATGTTAGTTGAAGCAGTTTTTTCCCCAATTATGATCACATTGATCCCATGCATAAAAAACATGAGGAGCTGTCCAGTGATAGTCTTTGGTTCTGAGAGAGGCATCCTAAGGACTGCTGCATTGAGGCAGGTTTGAAGTTTTCATCCAACACCTTTGCATTGAGTGATCTTGCTGTGAAAAAAGAAATACCTTATTTTCAGTTTAAACAGGACCATTCAAGGATACAACAATTATATGAACTGTCTTTAAAACCTAGATGCAAATTGCCTTATGCACTCTAGAGGGATAGTGAAGAGACATTTTGTTACAGATCAGTGTTCTGTATCATAGAAGTACTTCCTGTATCTTAATGCTCGCATTTAAATGGACAACTATGTCCCCCATGCCGCGTGACAAAATGGAGGGAAGGTAAAACAGTGTGGCCTGCATATTAAACTGGCATATAAAAATCAGATTCTCCTGACTAGTGCCTGAAGTTATAATGGAATTCTTCAAATATGAATACAGTTGTCCCTCAGTATGGACAGGGAATTGGTTCTAGGGCCCCCCAAGGATACCCCAATCTGTGGAGAGTCAGGTTCCTTATATGAAGTGGCATATTTACATATGCACATCCTCTCATATATTTTAAATTATCTCTAATCTACTTATAATACCTAATACAGTATAAATACTATGTAAATAGTGGCAAATACAATATAAGTTCCATGTAAATAGCTGGCACATGGCAAATTCAAGTTTTGCTTTTGGAACTTTCTGGAGTGTTTTCCCTTGAATATTTTTTATCTGAGGTTGAAGCATTAATGGATGTGGAATTGGCAGATATATGGAGGGTCTCCTGTACACAGTCATAGCTGTCCTCCCTGGAGGTTCAGTGAATGTCCACATCAACAGTGTACTTTTGTATAAATCCTCAGCTTTTTAGATACATATAGCTTACCTCTGAAGGCTCGGGTTTTAAGGGTCCTTACCCTTGCCTGTTCTTAACTGATGTGTAACCTCTCAATTGTACTATTTCCCTCTCTAATAGTCAAAACTCTTTATGTTTAGCTTTGAGACAATATTAGGCAAAAAGGTCCACCTCCCTCCTATTTGACACCCTCTTCTCCTGTTGCCCTGTAGCTTAAAGGAACTGATTTCAGCTCCATTTCCAAAGTAGCATTACCTCCCCCACCCCGCCAACCCCAACATCTTTTTATGCTCCCTCATAGCAGAAGAGTTAGGAAAATGAAGTGGTCTGAAGCACTTTCTCCTGCTGTTAAATGAAGACAGGATGAGGCATAAAGATAATACTGAGTTTTAAGCAAAATGGGGAAAAGAAACAGGCTAATAATAGTCACATTTAGTAAAATACTTATAAACTACAACCATTTCAAACTTGCTGTATTTTTTTCCATACCTTTGTATTAAAAACTTGAGATTTATTCTCGACTTCCAAGGTTTGTGCATCACTTTCTTTGCAGTAACTTTCTGCTCCAACGGTATCCATAATATTGCTTCCACAATTCTGTGTATTATAGCCACTATCCATCTACCAGGAATGAGGAAAGAGAAAAACCACCACAGATAGCACCGCAAACTAATTCACTTAACCACAAAATTTATTTTCAGAAACTTTTATGTTTAAGTAAATTTATTTTAGAATATTTATATAAAATGTTATATCTAAGATATGGCTTATATAATTAAATATAAAGACCATTTAAAAACATTAAAATCACTTTATATATATCATTCACAACTGAACACTACAAGTAATATTTAATATTGATTATATTGAATTTTAAAAGCAATATATAAACATAAAAGGTAGTTCTACATAGAACTGTTTGTTCTTCAAAGCAGTTACTACAATTCCTTCTAATAAAATACATCTTGTAATTTTCTTTAAATCAGTTAACAAGGCACCAAGAACATATTTTTCTGTTACTTTGTGCTCACACCCGGTGGACGAAAATAATTACAAATCAACGTCTTGCAGTTTATTTACTAAGCTTGTCTCTAAAGGTTTACTTGCATCTCTAAATAAAATTTACCTAAAAGGCATGTTGCCTTTAAGAGGATTCAAAACAACACACATTTTTAAAAGATGTCCTATACTCTAACCTATTGTGGAAGTAAAAAAATCTTACCTTCATAATAATACCATGTATATATATAGCTCTAGATGTTAGCTCAACTTTTCATTTTAATTAAAATTGTAGCATTCTACAACAATTGTTACAGCCCAAAAGAGCAAAAGAAAAAAAGGGACTCTAGCAAACTTCAATTTTGGTACAAACAGGACAAATATTTATTTTGTGAGGGCCTAAAAAAGTGCCAGGCCCCATATGGTACTCAGCGTAATATCATTCTCATTTTCTCCTTGTGATACCCTAGTCACTGCACAGATGAGGAGACAGGCTCAGGAAGGATACTTTCACGGTGTGGAATGAGGTGAGGAAGAGCTGAGGCCCCGTTGCCTCTGTCCACTCACTGCACACACTGCACTTAACCACACAGTGCTGAGCACCCAACAACACAACCCACAAGGCAGTCATCTTGCACGTAACACCCTGATATGCCATCTATGATCAGCTAAGGGAAAGCTACATTTGCCCCCATCACCAACATCAGAATAGCCCAGAAAGTCCATTCTATCATCATCTTAAGAAAAATGTCTCCAGTTTTCAGGGGTGGATGCATGTTCACCCCTGGGAGTCATATTCCATCTGAACAAAACCCTTGTGATGTAGGGAGGACGGTATGCAGGGCATCTGCCCCACTCTCTAGGAAGGAAGGGATCACAGGTGCCCAAAAGGTCACATGGTGGCTGACCCCCTCCCTTGCCCCCGCCAGCTCCCATCTAACTGCTACTAATGTCAGTGCCTACTGTGTGCCAACCAGACAACACAGGTCATCTCGCCACCCCCCACAGGCCACAGGGGAGCCAACATGGTATTTCACACTCTGGAAAGCCAACGTGACCGAAACAGAGAAGGAAGGGAAACCAAGCTGGAGAGTAAAGCCAAGGCCAGGCCAGGCAATGCTTTGCCAGCCACGCTACAGATTTCTGAATCAATACCAAGGGCAAAACAAGCACCAATAACAAAAAAGCTTAGAAATTCAAGATGCATAAATAAAAACTCAATAGAAGGGTTCTTATATAAAGTTGAGCAAATTTCCCCAACATCAGAACAAAAGGGAGTTAAAAAACAGTGAAAAGGTTTAAATTGGAGAATCAACCAGACTTCTGAAAAGAACAGTGAAAATCGAAGATAATATTCAAGAAAAGATCCAAGAAGTGAAGGGCAAGAGTTTACAGATCATAAGGAACTGAGTGCCCAGTACGACTGAGGCAAAGGGACCCACACCAAAGAGTCACTGAAATGTCAGGACCCTTTACTCCAGAGAGGGATAAAGTGGGACCAGTGCAAAAAGATGAAGCATTAAAATGGTTTCAAATCTTTCACCAGCAGCACTGAAAATAGAATCAACGAAACAACGCCGTCAAAGTCTGAAGGACAATTATTTCCAAATTCTCAAATGTGACAGAATAAAGATATATCAGCACAAGTGCAGTATCTTGAAAAATGGACTTTTCTTCAGAAAGCTACTGGAAAATGTGTTCCAGTCAAGTGAGAAGCAAGCCTGGAAAGAGAAGAACGGGGCATAGAACATGGGAGAGGTTGAGGAAATTCTCAGGTCAGGATGAAGGGATACTCCAGGAACACAGCTGTGTACCATGCCTGGAGGCCAACCTGTCACAATAAAGCAAGTCAAAAGGCCCTGAGAAACATGGGCATTTTTGAATATCAGGAGCTACCTCTGTGGTTGGAAGTAAAGGGTGTATGAAAATATTTTTAAACTACGAAATTTTCTGCTAAAGCCCAAAAGGTAAAACTGAAACTGACTGGTAGATACCACAGACTGAAAGAACTATGTTCTAGCTTGCTAAGGAAGGAGACTTGTAAATGCAGAGAAGTCCTCTAAGATAGGCTGGGACATCCCTGCAGGTACTCAGGGAGACAGTGGATGGCAATTTAGCAGTAAGACAGGCTCCCAATGGGTAGTTGGACTGGATAATTAATTTGTATGTCCATGAAAAGTATTTTCTAGCGCGTCTATAAGAGTTCTGAAAGAAAGGAAGAAAAAAAGAGAGCAAAAAATTAACAATAGTTTTAAGACTAAGTTTGACCTGATGTGCTTCTTTATTTAGGAACCAAATTTAGAAGTTGGAATATGTAAAGGTGATTCTAGTGTATTTTTCTGAGCAACAATCCTAGAAGTTAGGATAGACAATATAGGCATTAAATATGAGCAAAGGAGTATATGTAATTTGGAGTCATTTAAAAATCCCTCCATGAGTTTTAAACTTTATCATGTCAAAACTGACAGCACTATAGCATTATAGAGTTCTGAGGATTAGATGGATTAGTATAAAGAGGTTGGGAGAGTGTCTGGCACAGTGGAAGACTGTAAGTATTACGAATCAGTATTAACTTAAAGAACATGGACTCTAAAGCCAGACTGCCAGAATTTGAATCTTGGCTTGAGCACTTACTAGCTACAAAGGCAATTTACTGATCCTCTCTGACCCTCAGTTTCCTCATCTGTAAAATGGGGACAACAGTACATCTATTTCATAGGAATATTGTGAAAATTAAACAAAGTAACACATGTAAAGTACTTGAAATAATGGCTGGTATATTTTAAGAGCTACATAACTATTAGACATTGTTACTATGAAATGGGAGGTAGAATTGCCTTTCTGACTATTTTAAAGTTCTTTCAAAACTCCCAACTCAAAGAATATGGCAATTAATGGAACAAATGTCTTTCTGAAAGGAAGCTGCTAGCTGTGAACTGTATTTGTCGAATGAATCATGCCTTCCTGATATTTGATACAAAATTGGAACTGTATGATTAAATGAAAAATGGTGGTTATAAATCACATTTTTTAAAAGTACAAAAAAAAAGACACATAAAATTATTCTCATCTATGTCTTCTCCCTAAATCACATACAAGAAAAACCAAAACTACTGTATTTTTAGAATACAAAGCTACACCACAAACTGAATTCCTTTGGAACTAGCTCCACAGGAAAGAAAGGTAAACCCCAAGAAGCTGCCAGACTGGAGCAGTTTGTGAAACAAAGCAGCTTGATTTCTTTTCTGCTCTCTTTTCCTACTCCAAAGAATTATCAGTGAATATGATTATTAAATATGCATCACCAGGCCAAAGAAAACAACCCTCTTGATATCATCTAATGCTGACTCAAAAAAATACATATAATGCTGTAGGTTTCGCATTTAACCTATTTCTCTCTCTTTTTTTTTTTTGGCCATGACCCGGGACATGTCTGATCTTAGTTGCTGGCCAGGGATCAAACCCACGCCACCTACAGTGGAAGCCAGGAGTCTTAATCACGGGAAGGCTAGGTCCCAAACCCATCTTCTTTCTTACTATAATCTTATAAAAGAAAGGCTAGCGAACACCAAGAGAGCAAGGAAAAGGACTCCAGAACAGTCAAACACCTTACCTGAATGTTACTGCTTTCATAGGGAAGGACACTGCTTTCTGCGAGAGGTGACAAGCACATATGAGAGTTTTCAATACTGAATGCCATCCCGCTCACGGAATCCGCTGCGGGTAAATTCCCATTATGAACCGGCTCCTTAATCCAGGTGGTCTCATCCGCTATCTCGATGGGATCGACCATATCCACAGTGTTATTCTCCTTCTCACTCTCCACATCCTGCAGCAGTTCCAGTTCTTTCTCCGAAGCTCCGGACTGGCTCTGGGTGATGGACATGGCGGTCACCACCAAGCGCGTGCTGCGCGAAGTGTCGCTGCCCAACTGTGGCAGGGGGACTCCGGCGAGGCCCGTGGCTGGGGAGGAAGCGTCGGTGGAAGGAACCGCTGCCTGGTCTTCTTCATCTTCGCCAGGAGCCTCGAGAGTGAAAGGGACCCGAATCAGGGAGGTCCGATACTGAGCACCTCCTCTGCACATCTCCAGTCTCATAGGAGACCAATTTTTAATTGGTGAGCAGCCATCGATGTAAGGACTTCTGATATATGGATTGGTAATCCCATTACAATTGGTTCCAGATGAAGCATCAGGAGAATGAAAAGCAAACTTCCTTTGTTCTAAAAGATGGGGGGGTGGGGGCGGGGGGAGATGGGGAAGGAAAAATCACCTCATGAGAAATGGAAAAGCCATTACTAAATGGTCATCATCACAGTCCATGACAGCAAAACCGGATGTCTCTAACAGTGGTGGTGTTTCCTGAAGTGAAATTTTGGTGTCAAAAATAACAGCACAAACAAATGTGTATCCACAGGCAGGGTGAGGCTCTTCAAAAATAATTCCTCTGGTGTTTTCCCTTTTGTAGTTAAACAAAATATTTTATTCCCTGAAAATCATTTCCTCACAAACATATTGTTACAGCAATGCTGTTCAAACCCAAGATATAGAACAAACCAGCTGACAGCTGCAAAATAACCTGGTAAATGAAATATGTAATAGTCTGTTTCTCTACCCACACTTGTATGCTAAGTTGGTTGAGTGCTTAGTCGACACTTCAGTCGTGTCGACTCTGTGCAACTCTATGGACGGTAGCCCGCCAGGCAAGAACACTGGAGTGGGTGGCCATGCCCTCCTCCAGGGGGTCTTCCCGACCCAGGGCTGAACCTCTGTCTCTTATGTCTCCTGCACCGGCAGATGGGCTCTTTACCACTAGCGCCACCTGGGGAGCCCCAGGTGGGCACTGTAAGCAACATGAAAAGGCAAACAAAAGACTGCCAAACAATGTCTGCAAAAATAAAGAGCTTAATGATGGTAAACGAAATTATAAAAATGCCTTAAAAGTTAAGTTTTTTACAACACTTCATTAGCTTAATAAAAACAAAAGCTTAAAAAATGGGCAAAGCACATAAACAATCCTCCCAATAGTAGGATATAGTAAATGAACTCATGAAGTGTTTGGCCACACAAATAACAGAGAGTAGGGAAATTAAAGCAATGAGTGGCCATTTGTTGAACAAAAGTGCTGATGTCTGAACGAATAATTCCTTCACCTTCCCAAACAAATGACCAATACACATTTGGAAAGAATTCCACATTGTAATAAATTAAAGATGCAGAAATTAAAGCAGTAAAAGACCTTTTTGTAATGCACTGAATCAACAAACATCATAAAGAATCAAACAATCAAAAAACATCAAAAAGAACACTGGGAAGACCAGTGTTGCTAGATGGGGGAAAAATAACTTCCTCACACACCATTGATGAAAACTTCAACTGGTGCAACCTCTCAGGAAGAAAATTTGACAAAATTCCTCGAGAGCTTAAAAACAGTCATCCCTGCTCACCAAATAATTCTACTTCTGAGATTTTAACCTAAAGAAATAAATATATACAAATACAATGTATTTACCAGGAAAAAATAGAAATAATCTAAATGTTTGCCAATGATTAAAAACAAAGGTACATCCATGAAATGAAATATCATACAGTGATTCAAAATCATGGTTTCAAACAATAATAAATGACTTGGATGACTTATGAATACTTAAAATGCTCTGTGAAAACAGCAGGATATAGAACTATGTGTGTGTGTGTTCATATATGAGTGGAGATATACATACACATATACACATGCACATATATAAGGGGAAGACTAACAAAAATAGTTTTCAGTTTTCTAACTGTATTTACCATGAATAGATTTTTGTAAATTGTGAATGATTTTCAATAAGTGCTGTAATGTTTTTTAAAAGAAACTGATATAGTGTAAAGAGAAATATGTAAATCCCCTCATACTATATTCACCTAAAAACCTTATGCAAACAAATACACTTTTACAAAATATAAATATCTGATTGTATGTGCGCGCCAAGTCACTTGAGCTGTGTCCGACTCTGCGACCCTATGGACTGTAGCTCGCCAGGCTCCTCTGCCCTTCAGTCTTTTACATCTCCTGCACTGGCAGGTGGGTTCTTTACCACCAGGGCCACCTGAGAAGCCCGGATATCTGATTACCAAAGTCTGAATTACACAGTGGAAGGCATTCCAAAGCCAACTTATCTCTACAACTGCCATCTTTCTTTGATTCTGTTTGTACGATATTTGATATAAATAGTACTAGTCAAATTACCTGTATCTGACATGAGAGCAAAACCTTGCTGAGAATTTCAGTCTTTGAAAGTAAACCGTTCCTTTTGTTAAAAACAAAAAACAAAAAACAACCCAGGTTTCTAAATTTCAAAAGGGTTAGTAGTCATTTGGAGCTCTATAGTTAGAACAAGCTACAAAAAGCCTCTGTAATAATAAACACTGATAATATACTAATTTTAATTGGGCATTTTATTACAAGACATACCTGAGAGTGGTGTCTTTCCTATTTGAATCGCAACTGGTGAGAAAGTGGGTGAAGAAACTGGCGAAGGATTGGTGACGCTTCCCAAACTGTATCTTTTTGCACTATCCTGAATAGGGCTAGAAGAAAACTGCCCCTGTGATAAAGTTAAACAAATAAAATTATAGGGTTCTCCTCCTTAGCTCTGTTACACTAAGTGCTACTTATCTTTATTTTCAAAACACATTTATAAGCTGAGTTGTATAATTTTGGTTAGTCATCAGAGAGCCAGATGCCACCTTTGCTTTGTGGCAAAAGGCAAGACACCAAAAGGCAGACCCATAGACACAGAAAATAAGCTTATGGTTACCAAAGGGAGAGGCGGGGAGGGATAAACAAGGAGTTTGGGATGAACACATACACACTACTATATACAAAATAGTTAATCAACAAGGACCTACTGTATAGCACAGGGAACTATACTCGATATTTCGTAATAACCTACATGGGAAAAGAATCTGAAAAAAATAGATACATATGTATGTATAACTGAATCGCTTTGCCGTACACTTGAAACTAACACAACAATGTAACTCAACTATGATAAGAAGAAAAAAGGTTAAAAAAAAGAAAAAAGACACCAAAAGGCAAGGCATCTTGTGAGGACAGTTAAGAAGACTGTTCCAAAATTTTGAAACAGAATATACTAGACAGATAAAATATAAATACACCATATTTACACAAACCATTATACTAAGTAGCAGTTTATGAAAAAAATTAAGTTACTCCACTACTACCAATCTAGTTGTGTTATGCTGAAAATCTTAAATAACTTACACTGAAGTTTCTTGAGACTCATTTACCTCTAAATATACAGTTGGAGAGTGACCAAAACCATTCCTATACCTAATGACAAAATGTGAACTGCGCTAACCCGCATGAAATAGAAAAGCCAACAGACAATGAATCATTTCTCTTGAGAGCAACAGGAACTTCTAGGTCCAAGATGCCTACAGCCAACCAACCAGCCACTGTTAGTCCACTTCTTACCGAACTCGGGGTCTGCACAGGGCTCCTACACTGCACAGGAGATAACTCTATTGAACAAAAAACCTCAAGTGACGCCTGGGCACCACTATGAGGACTTCTGGGAGAAGCTGGAGGTAAGGAGTCAGAGATACTTCCGTTGCCATCTAAAAAGAGCTTTCTTCTGAGGGATGAAGAACTGAGGTTTCCAGGAGACTGATCTGCAAATTCATCAGGTCTAAAATAGTCACCTACATTTAATATTAACAGAATAAAAGGCAGAGCTAGTCATTCGGAAGAGCAGTTATATTTTAGTTGTCTGATTTTTTTAAAAAAAAGCAGTTTGTATTATGTTTGAATTTTTTTCAAAAAGAGGGCAAAAGTTTAACTGCATAGGTGCTGGTTGAAATCCTTTTTTGAGTGTTTCCTTATTAGTATGGGTAGTATCAATAAGATGTGTCTGTGAATAGTTTATGTCTATAGTTAAGCTCATTATGACAAAAAGGCTAATTCAGGCCTTAGTAAAGAAAAACAAGAAATTCCAGGATGGCTTCCCCACCTCTTTAAAAAGAGGTATTGCCACAGATGCCCATTTACAAAAAAGCATTAAAACAAAATCTTTAAGTTATTAAAGGTTTAAACAAATACAAATACAATACTTACCTAATATCTTTTCTAAATTAAAATCCACAGGGAGAGACAGCAATGTCTGGCAAGCAGCTGGAAGCCAGCAGATAAATGAACACAAACACGGTTAAATCAAGGCACCAGTTCAGTACGGGCTTCCCAATCAACCGTCTCCCCAGGATGATCCAGCCAAACTCAGTCATTTCCTTTATACATCCCATTCCATACCATCTTCCCATAAACAGGTTCCCTTACTTTCTAACGCTGATGTAAACCCATCAGTGGTAAAAGTTAACTCCTGGTTGTGCTGTTGGCACGTGAATTAAAAAAGTGGCCAGCTTAAATTTGGGGACAGATTTCCCAATATTAACAAAGTTTCAGAAGAATGCCTTCTAAAACCAAAAATCAATCCACAGGCTTTGCACCACAACATAACACACTATTGCCGTTTCTCAAACATGGCCAGATAGATCTCTTAATATTCTGTTTCTCAAGGTCAGTTTTCATAAAGCTCACTTATAAAAAGCAAACAATTTCAATTCCAGAGTAAAACATTATCACATGAACTGAATTTAATATTAAATGGTGCATTAGTATAGAACATATTTCTTTTCCAGTTTATATTCATACTCACCATTGCTTTTCTCAGAATGGATGGTCAGCTTTCTTCCAACCGGAGATTCATTATTTGTGTTGATACCTATAAAACATTCTAAGTGAAAAATCTTAAATTTTTTATTCATTTACTTTAGGGTTACTTTCTCCAGAACAAAAAAATAAAATGTGGGAGCTTTTATTTTACATTTAAAAAATAAATGCCTGCATATGTAAATATATAATTTGACAAACTTCTGTTAAATTTATTTATTTTCCAGTTTCGGGGAGTGCTACAGAAAGAACCTAGGACTGGAGTGCTAGAACTGGAAAAGGTCAGTTTTCATTCCAATCCCTAAGAAAGGCAATCCCAAAGAATGCTCAAACTATCGCACAATTGCACTCATCTCACATGCTAGTAAAGTAATGCTTAACATTCTCCAAGCCAGGCTTCAGCAATAGGTGAACCGTGAACTTCCAGATGTTCAATCTGGTTTTAGAAAAGGCAGAGGAAACAGAGATAAAATTGACAACATCCGTTGGATCACTGAAAAAGCAACAGAGTTCCAGAAAAACATCTATTTCTGCTTTATTGACTATGCCAAAGCCTTTGACTGTGTGGATCACGATAAACTGTGGAAAATTCTGAAAGAGATGGGAATACCAGACCACCTGACCTGCCTCTTGAGAAACCTGTATGCAGGTGAGGAAGCAACAGTTAGAACAGGACATGGAACAACAGACTGGTTCCAAATAGGAAAAGGAGTACATCAAGGCTGTATATTGTCACCCGGCTTATTTAACTTATATGCAGAGTACATCATGAGAAATGCTGGGCTGGAGGAAGCACAAGCTGGAATCAAGATTGCCTAGATACCTCAGATATGCAGATGACACCATCCTTATGGCAGAAAATGAACTAAAGAGCCTCTTGATGAAAGTGAAAGAGGAGAGTAAAAAAGGTGGCTTAAAGCTCAACATGCAGAAAACTAAGATCATGGCATCCGGTCCCATCACTTCATGGCAAATAGATGGGGAAACAGTGGCTGACTTTATTTTTCTGGGCTCCAAAATCACTGCAGATGGTGATTGCAGCCAAGAAATTAAAACACGCTTACTCCTTGGGAGGAAAGTTATGACCAACCTAAACAGCATATTAAAAAGCAGAGACATTACTTTGCCAACCAAGGTCCGTCTAGTCAAGGCTATGGTTTTCCCAGTGGTCATGTATGGATGTGAGAGTTGGACTATAAAGAAAGCTGAGCACTGAAGAATTGATGCTTTTGAACTGTGGTGTTGGAGAACACTCTTGAGAGTCCCTTGGACTGTAAGAAGATCCAACCAGTCCATCCTAAAGGAGATCAGTCCTGGGTGTTCATTGGAAGGACTGATGCTGAAGCTGAAACTCCAATACTTGGACCACCTGATGAGAAGAGCTGACTCATTTGAAAAAACCTTGATGCTGGGAGGGATTGGGGGCAGGAGGAGAAGGGGACGAGAGAGGATGAGATGGTTGGATGGCATCACCGACTTGATGAACATGGGTTTGGGTGGACTCCGGGAGTTGGTGATGGACAGGGAGGCCTGGCGTGCTGCAGTTCATGGGGTCGCAAAGAGTTGGACACAACTGAATGACTGAACTGAACTGAGGGTAAGAATACTAGAGTTGTTTGCCATTTCATTCCCCAGGGGATCTTCCCAATCCAGGGATTGAACCCAGATCTCCTGCACTGCAGGCAGATTCTTTACCATTTCAGCCACCAGGGAATCCCCACAAGGCTCAAACTCAAGGATTACCATAGCAAGTAAGGAGGCACCAAAAGATCCTTTTTAAGGCGAGCAGGGTTGGTCTCTCTGTCGACCTTCAAAGGTTGGGGACACATGTTAGCTAATGTCAATGTTGTCAAGCAGATCCTCAGTGGCTAGATGATTTTTCAAAACAGGTATGGACAGGACATTCCTGGTGAGCCAGTGGTTAAGAATCTGCCTGCCAAGGTAGGGAATACCAAGCCAATTTCTGGGCCAGGATGATGCCACAAACTGTGGGGCAACCAAGCCTGTGCACAACTACTGAGCCTGTGCTCTAGAGCCCGCGAGCCACAACTACTTGAGCCTACAAGCCTCTAAGCCTAGAGCCTGTGCTTAGAGAAGCCACCGCAATGAGAAGCCCTCACTCCGCAACTGGAGAATAGCCCCTGCTCGCTGCAACCAGAGAAAGTCCACACACAGCAACAAAGACCCAGAGCTGCCATAAATAAATGTTTGTTTAAATGAGTATACATTATTGGAGTTAAAATGCCAGGCCATTTTGACAGAAACTGCAATTTCATCAGTAAAACTGCACTCAGTTTTTTTCCTCCCCTCAAGACAGGAGTCAAAGATGGGTGCACATAATTTTTTTTTAAAAAATATAAAGGTAATGACTAGTATTAAGCTTCCTAAATTGAAAAATCATCAGGTAGTAAATAAATGGGTGAATGAGTGAGTGGGTGGATAATTTAAAGTCTCTCATTAAATGTCTACTATCAGAATGGGTAAAAAATAAAATAAATAAAATTCTAGATTCAAATGCCTTCTTTGCTGTAGGCAGTGTGACCTTCTATAATGCAAATGTAAAGGTGCTTTGCTGCAGAAACCCTGTAACACCCTTGGTCTCTAGGCTGGAGCTCAAACACCTCAAGAAGCTTCCCTGGTAGCTCAGAGGGTAAAGAAACTGCCTGCAATGTGGAAGACCCAGGTTCAAAATCCTTAGATTGGGAAGGTCTCCTGGAGAAGGGAATGGCTACCTACTCCAGTATTCTTGCCCATAAAATCCCATGGACAGAGGAGCTTGGCAGGCTACCATCCACAGCTCTCAGAGAAGAGTCAGACACGAGTAACTAACACTTTCATACTTTTTCACCAAACATCTTAATGGTGTAAATAAAGCCCTTTCAAACCTAGCACTTTTCCTCCAACCAGACATTATTTGAGTAACATAAAAAACAAACAGGCTCTCTTTCTTACCTCTAGGTATTTCTAAAACTCTTTCCTGACTGTTCTTCCCAATTCCCTGACTCTGGCATTATCACAGCACTATTCAACTGTATAGCAATTGTCTCATTTGTTTCCTCTAAAAGGACTCCATAACTTTAAGACAACAATCAAATGAGGAAACATAGATGGATTCAGTTACAACAAAGTAAAATTTCCTACCCAGCCAAAGGCATCAAAACAAAAGTAACACATGTGATAGATGACATGTGAAATGTTTAGAACCAATGTAACTACCAATGTAACTACACGAAGTATCTTAGCAATTAAAAGAAAAAAGAAAAAGACAACTCCAATAAGAATGATTTATAAATAGGCATTTTACAAAAGGATATAAAAAAGCTATGAGCATATGAGAAATGAAAATTAAAACAATCATTGAGAATGTCAAACAAACCACTGTTGTTGTTGTTAAGTCATGTCTCTTCTGTCGCACCATGGACTGTAGTCTGCCAGGCTCCCCTGTCCATGCCATTTTCAGGCAAGAATCCTGGAGTGGGTTGCCATTTCCTTCTCCAGCAACCCAGGGATCAAACACATCTCCTGGGTCTCATGCACTGGCAGGTGGATTCTTTACCACTGAGCCACCAGGGAAGCCCCAACACATTAGAACAGCACAAATCTGAAAGCCAAGTGTTGGCAGGAGTGTAAAGACACAGGAATCCACTGCAGGTGGGCACGCAGGGTGTGTGGTCATTCTGGAGAGTACTCTAGCTCTGCACAATCAAGTCAGATAAACACATTGTCTTTAGCTCAGCAATTCTCAGCCTGTGTATACTTTTCTAAGAAATTCTCATTTAAGTCCATAAATAAAACAGAACAAGTACACTCATTGAAGCACCCTGCTACATAAATCCCACTCCAGTACTCTTGCCTGGAAAATCCCATGGGTGGAGGAGCCTCGTAGGCTGCAGTCCATGGGGTCGCAAAGAGTCGGACACAACTGATTGAGTTCACCTTCACTTTTCACTTTCATGCATTGGAGAAGGAAATGGCAACCCAGTGCAGTGTTCTTGCCTGGAGAATCCCAGGGGCGGTGGAGCCTGGTGGGCTGCCATCTATGGGGTCGCACAGAGTCGGACATGACTGAAGTGACTTAGCAGCAGCAGCAGCAGCTACATAAATATTGGTTAATAGTAAAAGTTGACAGCATAAAGCCCACGTGTACAAACAAAATCATTTTCCCCTGTAACTCACAACTTCCTTTATTATTCTTTAGGTAAATAACACTGAGCACTTACCATGTGCTAAGTATGCGGTCTTGGAGGTATCATCTCATTTAATCATCCCAACAACCATCATTTCACAGGTAACGAGAGTGAGGCACAGAAAAGCTAAGTAACTCACGTGAAGTCACACAGCTACTAAACTATACTGCTTTACGGCACGGCTCAAACTCCGACAGTATTACTCCAGATAAAGGGTCAGCAAATGATTGCCCATGGGCCAAATATGTCTTGTTACCTTTTTTCGTAAATAAAGTTTTACTGGAACACATCCACACTCATTCATTATGTATCATCAGTGTTGATTTCATGGTACATTCGAGCTGAGTGGCTGCAATAGAAATAGGATGGTCTGCAAAGCCTAGAATATTTAACAATTGGTTCTTTACAGATAGAGGTTGCCATCCTCTATTCTAAGGTCACATTTTCCAGGAGAGTTTTTTCTGTGATGATGGAAAAAGTTCTGTATCTGGGGCCAACATGGTCGCCACTAGGTGTGGTTACTGGGCGCCTAAAATGTGAATGTATGACCAGGAAACCGAACTTCAAATTTTAGTTTATTCAAATTTAAATAGCTACATGTGGCTAATAGCTACTATATGTCAAGAACCATGAAGAGTTGACAAGCTAGCATGTCAATGTTCCATGGACACTGGCTGAAGACACAAGGCTTCGGGTCAAAGACAAAGGACTTCATTATTCTCAGCACAGCCGGAAGCATGAGCTTCATGTTCACATCAGTTCTCTTTGACCATCAATCCTAAGGAAGTGATACGAAACAGCCCTGGCGGATGCAGCACACACAGAGGGTCCATGTCTCCACCAAGGAACCCTGAGCTTAGGAAATCCCCTTCTTATAAGCTGCAACCCAACCTGCTCCAGAGGGAGACAGTACCACTATTATATTAGACATCAACACTAACCTACCTTCTGCTCCAGAAGGAGGCTCTATCTCTGTTCTCCAAGGATGTTCACAATACAAACATCCTTGAAAAGATAGTTTGGAACAAAACCTGTCCGTGCCACCCTTCATGACACGTATAGAAATGAGAGACCCACAGAGAACTGAACTGTCTTCCAACACCATCCTGGACAGCACAGCTCCCCTGATCAGCCACAACACTCTGTCATCATGGGCTTGATGAGCATACCAAAGAGGCTATATGTGCTATTTCTAGCATCTTCCTGATTCACATCACTTTAAAACAGGATACTCTAAGTATAAAATAATGTTTAAAAATAAGATCATATAAGAAGGTTGATTCACCTGTTCGAAAATCCAACATTAAAAAATTGGGGGCAGGGAACCTAGTCTCTATGCAGATGTTACCTTGGATACAGAATTTCAGAGCTGGGAGGGATGCTAACATATAACCATCTTGTTTAACCCCTTGATTTTAGAAATAAAAAGCTGAAGAGAAGGGAACGGCACCCCACTCCAGTACTCTCGCCTGGAAAATCCCATGGACGGAGGAGCCTGGCAGGCTGCAGTCCATGGGGTCGCTAGGAGTCGGACACGACTGAGCGACTTCACTTTCACTTTTCACTTTCATGCATTGGAGAAGGAAATGGCAACCCACTCCAATGTTCTTGCCTGGAGAATCCCAGGGACAGGGGAGCCTGGTGGGCTGCCATCTACGGGGTCGCACAGAGTCGAACACGACTGAAGTGATTTAGCAGCAGCAGCGGCAGCAGCAAAGGCACTGAAAAAGTTGATCAAGATCACTCCTTCCGGTTTATAATACAGAAGGTCTACAACCCAGGTCTCCACTGGCTATCGCACGCCACCTTTAGTTTGTAATGAATCTGAACTGAGAAATGCTTGGCTTTAAGGCCAGGTTCTGACACCTTATTTCTGTAACCCTGGACAGGTGCTCTAACCTTTTGAAAACTAGGTTTTCTCACTTACAAAGTGAGGTCAATAACAGCACCTATTTCATACAAGCTGTTGCAAGAATACTGAAAGACTGAATACTGGGCACATGAAAAGTGCTCGACCCATCTTTCCAGTACTGCTGTGTTTTGATAAAGAACAGGACAAATATTCCCTCTTATACTATATCCTATTAATGTGTGCTATTCTGAAGAGTAGCAATTCCACGGAAGTGAGGGATGTGTATATAAAAGCAGTATTTGAACACTGCTCACAACTCAGAGGACACTGAGAGCAAATATAAGTTAACCATTTCCTGAAGGTAGAAAAACATTTGAAAGATTGTTGGCTTGACCTTCAATTTCCTTATTAACTTTGCAGATAACTGGCTGTATTACACCACCCCAGAGATCATAAAAATGCCCATTCCTCCTCTACTACTATAAGAAACCAGCAAACTAGAAAAAACAAAACAATTTAAGGATTTCATTTAAAAAACTAACCTTCAAAATCACTGCAAAAATCATTAACAACCCAGATCTATATCCAATACTATTTCTGCATCTATGGGTCTCTATAACCAACATTATAACTTGATATTCACAATGATCATGAAGAAAAAATTAAGTTCAGAAGAGAATGGCTAAAAAAAAAGAATTTTGTAAATTTTAGTTAAGTTTAGAATCCTTAATTTTAAATAGTTAAACCTGGTATCCCAGAAGTTTAATTTTATAGCAAGCTTCTCACCAAAGCAGATAAACTGATATTTCACTATATATGTTGTTTTATATTCACTGCTTTCTATTTTTATGATTTTTATTGATTCAATCTTTAATACACTCACATTTACTGGAATGATACTCTGAAAGCTGCTTCCCTTCATGATCAGTCCAAGGAGAGGGTACGATGACATCCTTAGTGAAAAACTAGGAGAATTAAAAGTCCTTCAATTAGGCATATGAAATAGGAAAAGGTAGTTGTGCTAAATAACCATCAAACATGCTACATACAGACTTTATAGTTATATTTTAAAATTTAATACTTAAAGCCCAAGTGAGCAAAGGTGAAATAGAAGAAATTTAAAGAAAATATAAAGAGAAAGTTTAAAGCTTCACATCAACCACTTACATTTGAAATTTGCAAATTAAGCTAAGCGTATTATTCATAAAGAAAATATCTTTCATTTCTCCCCCAATTTTTCTGGAGGGAAGGATGAGGTTGACAAAAGGGAGGATAAAGAGGGAAGGAATAAAGGAAGACAGATGTATATGTGTAAACCAAGAGGAGGTGTGCTGGAGCTACCTTGTCCTGACTCTCAGAATTTTCAGGAACACTGCGGATCAGTTGTTAAACAAAGCCAACACTAAAATTATGTAAACTTAAATAAATTATATTAAAAAATAAAATAAAAACTGAAATCATCGCTTGCTAATTCTTTTACTACATGTAACAATATCTACGCTCCTGAGGTTATTTACAGAGAGTCCCCTACAAACGAATGAGCTGTTTCAAGAGCAAGTTTGCAGGTCCAATATGCTCGTAAGTCCAACAATGTTAGCCTAGGTACCCAACTAACACAGTCATCTATATAATACTATGTTATCACAGATGTATAATACTTTTCACCCAAATAACAGAAAAAGCAAATAAGAAAGCATTTTGAATCTTACAGTATAATACCTTGGAAAGTACAATAGTACAGCTCCTGGCATACAGGAGCTGACATCAAGTGAAGAGGCAAGAAGAGTTGCTGAATGGAGGAGGGAGAGGAGGTGGGAGATGGCAGAGCTGAAGGGTCGTCAGCAACAGGAGACGGAGGGCGAGCTGCGATTTCACTCATGCCTGACGTTGATGGCACGGGTTCTGGTTTGCAACTTGAAGGTTCGAAAGTAGGGGACTTACTGTATGTCTTTTTTATTTGTGTGGTAGAATGCCTGCATATAATGGTGTCCCACATACATTTCTTTTCCCATTCAGCGATGCCATCATCACTAAATTGAAACTGGCCATGGCTGGAGTATTTGTGCTATGGACAGCAGATCACTAAAACTCATATTTCCCCCCCAGTCAGAGGGCCAGGTGTTATATACTTATCAGCACACCACTGGGCAGTGTACTCTAACAAGTGGAGATACAGCATTTGGATAAAAGCTGTATTACTGTATTAGGCTTAATTCACTTTATATCAGAATGAAAGAGGAAAGACGTTTATACAAACACTCTAATACAGTGAGTAATACAGTATTTTGCCCTCCCATCTCTATGCTTTGAAGGTAACACACAACATTTTCTTTATATTTTGCTATACTTATGACAAAAAACTAATTTCCTGACTAAACTACCTATGAATACATAAAGAAAAGACAAAATAATGAAGGTAGGGAGCAGACATACAGTTTCCAGAAAAAAAAAGGAATATAAAAGACCTACAAACTCAAGAAGCAAAGCATAAGTTCACTCAAAATGAAAGAGATGGAAATCCAATAACAAGATAAAAATTTGAAAGTAGTAAGAATAGCATTATAAGCAGTTTGCTAACAGCCAGTATTGGAGATAAGAGAATATAGGAAGTATCGTAACATGGCCAGGAGAACAAATTGGTACAACCTTTAGGGAAGGCAATATGGCAAAATATACCAAAATTGAAAACACAAACCCTCTGATTTAGCAAGTCCATAAAGATATAAGTGTGTTCATTGCAGAAAAACACTGAACACAACCTACACATGGGTCAACAGGGGCTGGATTTGATTATGATATATTCATATAATGGAATACTATGCTATTTACTAAAAATTGCTATGTGCTGATAATCAAAAATAAAATCTAAGCCATTAAGCAGAAAAGGGGGGCAAAAGAGTATCAGAATGATGATCCTATTTAAGTGCAAATATTTAAAGGACATGAGCTATTACATACACAAAATGAATCTGAGAGTACACTTAAGAAATATTATAGCAATTACTTTCAAGGAGTAAGACAGGGAATGAGAGGCTCTTTGTTTTCATTTTATGTGTTTTTCTTTGCAGTTTGGATTTTTCTGTTTTCACTATGTGCATGTATTTACTGTATTTCACATATATAAATGTGAATTTAATTTGCTACTAATACATTAACTTCTGCAACATTAGCCATACTCTTCACTTTGAATTAATTTTCTTAAGTTTTTTCTTAAATTTCCTTTAAAATTAAGTTGAGAATTTGAAAGAGGAAGCATATTTCCCAAAATGTTGGGAAATGGGGAAGAGTCTGAGAATATTCAACTAGGGAGGAATCAGGTGACTAGATTAGAATGAAAATGTTGAAGTTATTAGATAGATTAACAAGTAGGTAATATTTAGCAGGAGTAAAGCTTAGGAAACTGTTTCCTAAGAAACAGGCTATATCTGAAATGTGGGCGCTCACTGAAGCTCTGAACATGCCATAGCTCAAGTCTTCTGGGCTGCAGAAGAACCAAGCATAGCTAGCAAATAGAAGAGGTCAGAGGAAGACTAGTAAGGGGAAAAAGGACAAAAAACCGCTGCCATGGCCTGAAGACTTTCTGAAAAATAACTAAGACAGACAACCTTTATATTCTAAAGAATTTTAGCAAAAAGTAAAACGTTTAGTTTATTAGCTTTATAAAAAAACAAAAAACCCTACCTTTGTGATATACTTTTTCTATTTAGCAGTATACTATATTTCATGAAATATATTCAATGTCTTAAAAATCTAAAGAATTAACAAGGACAAAAGGTAAAACCATTCCTGAGGCCAGGCTAGATTTTCAAGGCTTGAAAATATCCAGCTTTCTCTACTCCCAACTTGAAACAATGGTTTGTGTTCATCAAAGGCACAAGAAGACAAACTATGCTAGGTCCTGAGAAGGAAAAGATGAATTTTGACCAGAAAAGAATTCAGTCTTTGGGGAGAAAAGCATTAAACCGATTATTACAATGAAAGGCGCTGGATCAGCTCAAAAACACTAGTCTTAGGGGAGCTCCGAGGGATACTGGGAACAGACAGACTTGGGGAAGTTGAGACAGGAAAGGATGTGAAGGAACTCTTCCTCTTTTAGAGGTGCTGTGCGTGCAGAATTGATGCTCAACTGGCTTCACCATCATAATTGTGTCAAGTTACCTCTTCAATGGCTTTTTGTCTTTTGTCTTCCACATCTTTATCTATTCTATGCAGAGATAGAAAAATAACCATACCATTACTTCAGCAGACTGAACATTTAAAATAATAACCTTTCAAAGAAATAGTTTTCTTCCATGTTAGAAACTGGCAAATGTTAAGCTCATTTTAAAAGAAAACTTGGGATCTTATCACATTTTGTAAATGACAACATTTGGAGAGTCAGCCTTGTGCTATTAGGCTTACCTGCCCCCCCCCCCTCCGCCTTTTCCATTCACAGTTTGAATGGAATATTTTCTAGTAAAAGGCTTACATGGATACAATTTTTAAATTACTATTAACAACAGAAATAAAGTAATTTGAATAAACTGTGCCCTTTAATCACAATTTAAGAAGTATGTCATTCCACAGAAATCTAAAAACTGTCCAAATTCCTTTTCTTCTATTACAGCAAGCTTATCATAGTTGTAATTCTGGAATCAATTCTTACGTTTGACATAAATGAAAAAAAGACTATCATCCTTACAGTTCTAAATAAATAGGCAAAATTATTAATTATGAGATTAAATATCAACACTATAAAATCTGAAATATAAAACTTTGTCCAAATGAATTCTTTTTTCCCACTTTGATAGAATATGCAATTATAGCACCACAAATTTATTACTTATAAAATTTAATATTGTCAGGTCTCAAGGACAAGGCATATACTCACCAAGGACTCAGCAGTTAGCCTTGAAGGACCACTTCCCTAATCTTTTCCCAGAGAGAGTATTTGCTACCATGAATAACTACGTAAGACACCTTTTTTTGTCCAAATTTTTTTTATCTAATTTGTACCTTAACAAAGCTTATAATAATGTACATGTATTAAAAATTAAAATCAAGTGGATTTATAAATAAAGGAATTGTGAGAAAATAGACTAAGTTAGAATCCACATATCTCCATTTGAACAGCCATTATGAAGCTTTTAACTCTTCCTCTTATCGTGGACATCACAGAGATCTCAGTGCGTAAAAACAGCATACAATATTAGTAAGCTCTGATCTAGCAATACTTAATTCAGAAACCTACTGCTGCTTCATCAGAGGACTTCAACAACCTGGGATATTCAGGTGATGGCTAGAAGCAGTGAAAATCATTTTGGCCAAATATTGTAGAGTTAAGATGACAGAAGGGTCTGAGAAGTCACACAGGGCAGGGCGTCCTCACCCGTACACCACAGAACACCAGCATAACGCATACACTGTTCACTATGACTGGTGTGCCCTGAATGGACCCTTGGCGGGCGAGGCAGGGAAGGGATTCCGGGACTGTTCACCTCCAATGTGGACAGACTCGTTTGTTTACACCAGGATACCTTGCAGCTCTCATTTTTAGAGAACTTGCAGTTCTCATATATAGCATGGCATGAAAAAGGTGGGAAGCTCTGAAATAGGGAACTTGGGTTAGTGAGGAAGAGGCACTGGAAGCCTATGCTTATTTCTAAGAATGAATCAACATGTTTTAAGGGTATACTCACTACCCTCGGTAGAAACCATAACCATTTACTGAATTACATGAGTTAAATTAAAATCAGGGTCTTGTCCCCTCTTCTATGTTAAAGGTCTATTTACTGAAATACACCAAGTGTTTTCATAAACCTGCTCAGATGACACCTCGTTTACTAGCACATATGTTGTTTCACAACTTGTTGAGTCTAGAAGGCAGGAATAACCTCCTGTACTGCTTCGGGGTCCCCTACAGCGCTCAATAAATTTCTCTTGGCTGTTCACGTTTCAACATACTGAAGAGAGGAGGCAAAATAAGACATATGGTTTGTGTAACACAAAAAATTCGTCTCATTTGTGACACATTTGCTTTTTGATATACTTTTCACTTTCCCTATCAAAGGTATCATCCAGTGTTAAGTAAAATCCATTTACACTCTATTGCCATTCTAGTCCCTTTCTTGAGCACTTTGGATGAGGATTAATTACAAGGGGATCATCATCAAGCTACCAAGTCAAGAGAAGAAGGGGTACAACAGCCAGACGAATATTTGCAAGAGCACCTCAACACGTGTACATCTTTGGGTGATTAAATTCTAAAATGAAAGGGAAAAGAATTATTCATTACCTTGGACTGATAAGACATGTTATTACACTTAAGAGCAAGAAAGGAAAACTTACCGAGAACGACTTAGGTATAAAGCTTGACGATGAATGTCCTCTGGGTCTATTTCTACAGGATTTATTACAGCTAGTTGATCAATAGACCATCTAAATTCCCCTGGAGTCTTAACAAAAGAAAGTGATCTTATGAGCAAAAGCATATAACAGTGCATCAAAATGCTAACTTCAAATGTCAGCTTCAAAAACAACGTGAACGGTTGTAATATAAAAATATCTTACAGATATTTGACTTTACCACTAAATTAAAAGGCAAATGGTAAGCAGATCACACTAAATCAATTGACTTGACATTCCATCTGGGTGACTGCTGAAATTACATAATAATAGAAAAATCGCATCATATTAAAGATATAGAAATTCCACAAATAACTCTCATCAGTGATGCAACACACCCAAATAAAACTAAAAGTCTCTTAGAGTTATCAAAAGCCTTTATTTTCACCAGGAATGAATTGAAATTATACAAAGTCCTAACTACAAAGAGCTCATATTTGCAAAAGCTCATAAAATATGCAATAAATAATTATGAGTGGTAACCAGTGCTGCTTTTCTGTATTCAACAATCCAATAAACCAAAAGTTTATTTTTGTAATTCTACAATTAGAATTTGCAAACCAAATTCTAATATGTAAATTTGAAATATATTTTTGAAAAATCAGACTTAAAAATCCAAGATGTCCGTCATGCATTCTTGCTTTGAAGATTGAGTTGCAGTCATTTTGTTATTTTTATTAAAATTAACTAAAATTGAATACCATTCAATTTAAAATCATGAGGTCACATAATGATTCAATATAAAGTATATAACTGTAAAACTTTCCTCTAGTGCATGACTAGCTTCACGTAGATACGCAAGTGTAGCTAGCATCAAAAGGACACAGTTTGCAGTTTTCTAGATAATTTGCTAAGTCAGAAGATCAGACTTCAAAAGAACTTCTCCATTGTAGTCAATAACAGTAAAAAGAAGCTAAAGAGAGGAAGCCTTCCCTAATCTATTAAAGAGACTATTCCCCTCCATATCAGCCTTCTGTCAAAGCACATAACATACTCTCTTGAGGCTGCCAGTCTAGTCTTGCCTATCTAATTAGAGTACAGGTTGACTTCTTTTCAAACAATCTGCAAGCTAAGAATGGGTGATAAAAAATCCAAAATAATATTAGCATTTCACATGTGAAGATTATAAATGAAATTCAAATTTCAGTGTCCATAAATAAAGCTTTACTGCAACACAGCCACATTTACTGTTAACATACTACCAATGGCTGCTTCTATAATACAAGGCAGAGGTGAGTAATTGTAACAGCAACCAGAAGATCTGCAGAGCCTAAAATACTTACTATCTGCCCCTTAACAGAAAAAGTTTGCTGACCCCTGCTACAGAGTACAAGCTCTCTGAGAATTAGTGTTTTATGACTCTGACTTGTTCAAGATGTAACCCTGTAGTCAAGAACTGTACCTGACACATAGCATTCAAACAAACTTTGCTGAATACCTGAAAATAATTAGACGAAATAGTTTCTTCTCTATTACGGTATTAGTCCTTAGACCATCAACATAAGCGGCACCCACGGCTGTCAGAAACATGCTAACTAATGAATAAAAAAGAAATGCTAACTAAAAAAAAGCAAGTTGAAAGCTAAGAATGGGTGGCAAAAATCCAAAAGAATATCAGTATAGCTAGTATATATTAGTATAGCTAGTATATATAATATTAGTATAACTAGCTAAGTCATTTTTAGCCTAGTCACTATATTATAATAGCCAATAACCATTAGAATTAAAAAGTGCACTCCAGTTTACCACTTGTAAAGAAAGATTGACATTTAAAGTTATTTAGAAAAAGTAGTCGAGACTAACTTACTGGTAATTTTGTCGATTTAAAAACAGAAGGACTGGAGACAGTTTGTTCATGGAGATTAGAATAATCACCAGGACTTTCAAAAGGATTTAAAACAGGAATCCTTCCTGGAGTTTCAGGTGTTATTTGCATTTTTGATTCTTTGACATCTCCCATAGCACAGAGGAAAAACTAAAAAGAAATCATAAATATATATAAGAAAAGTACAAAGTTCCACAGACATTCATTTTGACAACTAAAATGTATTCAACAAAGGTGGTGGTTGTTTAGTCTCCAAGTGGAGTCCGACTTTTTTGCGACCCCATGGAGTACAGCCCACCAGGCTCCTCTGTTCATGTTCCTCTGGGAACATGTTCATGGCTCCTCTGTTCATGTTTCCCAGGCAAGTATGCTGAAGTGGGAATTTCCTTCTCCAGGGAATCTCTCCCATCTAGGGATCTCCCCCATCTAGGGATCGAATGCACGACTCTTGCCATTGGTAGGCGGATTCTTTACTGCTGAATCACCAGGGAAAGCCCCATTACCAAACATACATGTTACAAAAAGAATTAACTCAAAACCTAAGCTCCTGGGGCTTTTTTGTAGTTTACACAAGTGTGATGCTCTAAATAATCTTGAAAGCTAGAAGGGTAAAGTATTAGTGACAGAATTTTGCAGGAGAATTAACAAGCTCAGAGAAGTCAACTGGTTGTAAGTAGCACTCAACCGAATGTGAATGAGTTGAGGTCCCCCTTCGGGACAACTAAACGTTCTAATAGGCACAAAACCTTTTCCTGCTAAAGAACAGTAGACCTACAGCTTTTTATTCATTATCTCAAGTCTGTAAACAAACACTTTGTACATAATTCCAACAGCCCAGCAATTACCCAACAAACTGCAGTTACTAAACAGTTATTTACAGCATCACCAACTCAATGGACAGGAGTTTGAGTACACCCCAGAGATGATGAAAGACAGGGAAGCCTGACGTGCTGCAATCCACGGGGGTCCCAAAGGATCGGACAAGCCTGAGCGACTGAACAACAGCAGCAAATAAGAGAGGAGGAAATCTCTGGTCTCTTTGTGCACAGGTGCCTGTCTTGCACTTTAGCCCCCATGAGAAAAGAAATGACTGATTAGGGGTACGAAATTAACCGCTTTGGGTTGCCTCTTCTCAAACACCCTTAGCCAAAGGCTAAGACCCCCACCCTCCCACGATGGAAGCGAGACTACATTATTTCCCGTTGGGGGGGGGGTACAACTAGAAAAAAAAATCACTCCACGGAAGGCTATGTGTAGCAAGCTTCCTCGGGTGACGGGCAAAGGAGGACACTGACGCCGGTGTCATTCCCATCCCTACTCGATCACTCTTTCCTGGGCCCCCCTCTTCCGCACCCACTCCCCGGCAGCTCTCATTCATCCCGAGGCGAGCGTGCAGCTGGTCCAGAGCAGGGCAAAGGGAGTTCTCCAACTCGAGTCAGGAGGGAAGGCCAGGAACCACAAAGAACATACCTAGTTGTGTGTATAAAAAGGAAGCCCCCCCTAAAGCGGCTCCAGGGCGCTCCCGACGGTGCCGGGTAAGCTCCCACGACAGGCACAGACTCTTTAACTCCCCGCTTCCGCGCTGTCTCAGGCCAACCAGGGCACGGGCCTTGTACGCGACTGGCCAATCGCGTCGTACCGCTGTCCGCGAACCAGCCAATCTCCGCGAGGCCGCGTAGTAAATTCGAATGGCAACTCCTCGCTTCGCCTTCCGCCCAGAGTATCGCGGCTCCAAATTCAAATCAACGTAGCCTCACGCTGGCGATCAGCGCGAGGGGCGGAGCCTGCCCGGCGTGAGCCGGGAACGCGCGGTGTGATTGCCCAGGAGAAAGGAAGGCGCTCCAGTTCCGGGTCAGGCCCTTCGCCCGCCTCCTTCGGCCTCCGCCATGGCTAGCAGCGGTGGCGCAGGGTCGGCGGCAGCGGCAGCGAATCTGAATGCGGTGAGGGAGACCATGGACAGTGAGTGCCCATTTCGCCCCCTTTACCTTGCCTCTGTTCCCCAGAGCCAAGGCCCTGGGGCGGGGCTGGGCCCACGAGGACTTCAGGTCCACTTCCTGCCCCGATCGGCATCTTTGGACATCCTCCCAAGGGACCCTCCAGGGCCCCAGAGCTGATGGCTCCATCCTGAGAGTCGTCTCTCCGTTCCTGCGTAGTTTGTCGCGCTCACGGCGTTGCGGTCACACGTCAGCCCGGCGCGCGTCTGGTCCCTCCCGCACCGGACCCCGCGCGCCGCCCGTTTCCCGCCTCGAGTGCTTTCTCCGAAGTACTCATCTCGCACCCTCTCCCACGCCCAGTCCCCGCGACCTTTCTCGCGCGAGCTCAAGTCACGGCTGGTCCCTGCACCACGCTCCCTCCGCGCCGGTTCCCCGCATCCCTTCTCCTGCACTGGTCTCGCGCGCCCCGCCCACCCCGCGCGCCGAATCCATTGAGGGGATCGCCTCCGAAGCGCCCCAGACTGAGTTTCTTGTGGACAGTGGCTTCGGATGTTCGGTCACCGCTCCATCCCTCCTTGTACCTTTCGCTGCTGGAGGAGCGTGTTAAATACCTACCCCGTGAAGGAACATGTGTTTTAATCAGAGTTGCCCCCGTTTAGTCCTGGAGCCGGTGATGCCGGTGTCCGGAGACCGTGGGCGTATTTACCTGTTTTGCAGCAGGTAAAAACTGCCCGCAAGTAATAGGGGGGAAAAAGTGTCTTGGAGTTATCCTCTCCCTCCTTTCTATTGCCGGCTCTGACACTTTATAGCCCTGGTGTAGGCTTGGACAAGTCATTTAAACGTCTTTGAGACTGCTTTTTTTTTTTTTAACCCCCGTAAAACAAGATTGCTACCTCGTGCTGCGTGAGTGCTAAGTCGCTTCAGTTATGTCCGACTCTTTGCGACCCCATGGATTGTAGCCCGCCAGGCTTATCTGTCCATGGGATTCTTAACTCAGGAATACTGGAGTGGGTTGGGTTGCCAGGCCTTCTACCAGGGTATCTTCTCAACCAGGGATCGAACCCGGGTCTCCTGCATTGCAGGCAGATTCTTTACCGCCTGAGCCACCAGAGAAGCCACATGCTACCTCCTAGGATTATTGTAAATATTTAAATAAGATCACCTGATAAACGCATCTCGAAGGTGACCATTAACAGGTAGTTCCTGCACTGTTTTCGTGTATAAACATCATTCCACGATCCCTTTTGCTGTCCCCATTTTATTTGCCTGCATCTGTATATGTGTGTTTGATAGATGTTAAATTTTGCATTTTGCGTTTTCCAAGGGATACCCACATGAACTGCTGTCTCTCAAACCATGAAATTCTCAAGCACTGTCAGCCTTCATGTCCTATCTCTGGCTCCTTCACTGTAGGCTCCACTTCCTGTTAGAGCCCCTTCTTTATGGGGACTTGTGATAAGGCTTATGATTTTCTTTGCACTCTCTGCTGCTCCGCTTTTAAAAGAATTTTTTTTTTTTATTAATAGAGCCTTTGCATCTAATTTTTTATTCAGTATCTGCTTTTCTCTTTTTCTGAAAAATGGAATTTTGTTAATATCATATTCATCCTATTTTCCCATCCTTCTTGAAATAGCAGAGCTTATTTTATTTTGTAAGTGGATTTGTGCACTTAGAAACTAGTGTACACCGTTATTGTCTTACATCTTTGCTTGGAAACCAGTGTGGTTTCTGAACAGTGTGAAGTTTATTTGAGTCCTGACTTGTAGTCAGTTTTCTTATATTAACTGTTCCTTATTATATGGGCACAGGATTCCATTTGAATAGAAAGCCCGCATTTTCTCTCTGATGAAACTACTCATACAGAAATGAGAACTGATCGTTTTTATTGGCTGCATCATCAAGGTTTTCACTGAGAGCATTGAAGATTATAGTGTTAGGATACGAAAAAGTGAGGAAAGACCAGATTATTTTTTCTCAACCAACACTGGAGGAGAGAGTGTGCAAAGTAGAGAACACTGCTCTTCCATACACAGTGGGTCCCCAGATCAGAAGGTAAAAAGGAAGGCCCCAGGTTGGCAGTGTATCAACATCTGTTAAATGTGGCAGTTAGGTCCTGTCGTGTCCACTGCTATCATGCCATGCATGCATGCTCCGTCACTCAGGCCTGTCTGACTCTTTGCCGTTCCATGGACTGTAGCCTTCCAGACTTCTCTATCCGTGGGATTTCCCAGACAAGAATAATGAAGTGGGTTGCCATTTCCTCCTCCAGGGATCTTCCCAGTCCAGGGATCAAACTGGCATCTCTTGAATCATAATTGAATCCAAAACAGTCAGTGAAAATGTGAAGTTTTGCAAAGTTAATGAAAATATTTTCCAGGCTGTCTATAATGATTGAGGCACAAAGGGAAACAATGACACTTGCACTGTTAAGAACTGACCACATATTCAACTGAAAAAGTCCTCAATGCAGTCCTTTAATAATCCCACCTCTCTCCACTCTCACTGCCAGAAATAGAACTTTAATTTGCCCAAGGGGCTGGGCTGACCTACATAAGCACCAGTGTTTTTTGAAAATCTGTTATTGTGGAGTTTCCATGTACTTAAATCTGTCCATGAGACCCAAACTGAAGTGTTCAAAACTTTTTGAGTCTGACAGTGCTGCTTCAAGATCTAATATATTTCTCCTCATCCTTTTCCTCCCTCCCTCCCATCAGAATTAGAGTCAGCTAAGTGATTTCATCTTTTAATTAATGTCAGATGATTTGCAAGGATTATAAAACTGAGCTATGAACACTGGTAATTTTATTGTGAAAATGAAAGCGTTTTGATAAAGATACTTTAGACGGGAGGAAGTGGTGGACTTTGTTATTATCTGCACAAATCACTGAAAGAAGATTGATCCTGGCCAGATTTAGTATAGGGTCTGTTGGATAAGGGGCTTCCCTGGTGGCTCAGTGGTAAAGAATCTGCCTGCCAGTGCAGGAGACATGGGTTCAATCCCTGAAGACGGAAGATCCCTGGAGAAGGAAATGGCAACCCACTCCAGTATTCTTGCCTGAGAAATCCCATGGACAGAGGAGCCTGACAGGCTACAGTCCGTGGGGTTACAAAAGAGTAAAACATGACTTAGCCTTAGCGACAATAATAACAAATTACGTTTTTGGCAATGGTGATTAAAATTTACTTCTTCCCTACTAGAGGCTTCAGTGTGATACAGTTGTTCCTCAGTATTTGCAGGGAAATTGGGTTCAAGACACCCTCACCCACCCACCCATATCACAATCTGGATGCTCAAGTCTGTCATATGAAATGGCTAAGTGTTTGCATATAACCTACATTCATCCTCTTGTATAGGGGCTTCCCAGCTGACTCAGTGGTAAAGAATCTGCCTGCCAAGCCAGAGACTTGGGTTTGATCCCTGGGTCGGGAAGATCACCTGGAGAAAGAAGTGGTAGCCTGCTCCAGTATTGTTGCTTAGGAAACCCCATGGACAGGAGCCTGGCAGGCTGCGGTCCGTGGTGTCGCAGAGAGTCGGACACAACTGGGCGACTGAACAGCAGCAGCATCCTCTTGTATACTTTAAATCATCTTTTGGTTATTTATAATTCCTAATAAATGTGAATGCTACGTTAATGGTTGCCTGCGCATACACGCCAAACTCAAGTTTTGCTTTTGTGAACTTTCTCGAATTTTTTTTCCCAAATATTTTCAATCCACAGTTGACTTGTATCAAGTTGTAAACTAGCAAAAGGAGCGAAGAGAGTCCACAGTGTGCAAGGCAGTGTCAGTGAAGCAAACATATAGCCTGTGCTCCCGCCATCAATCCCCTTACTGATGTGAGGCCTCCCCTACTTCCCTCCTTCACTAAGCTTCTTCAGTTCTTCAGTCATCTCAGATTTGACCATTTGTATTAATCTCTCCTGTCCATGCCACCTACCAGTCTCTCCATAATTGCAGTAACTTATCTGGACTCCTCCTCCCCAGGTCTTAACTTACACTGGGAAGAACTTGGTAAATGAGACTGAAAGGCTCATGTAAAGACAGTGTAATTAAGGGGGATAGATGGTTGTGAAGTATGAGATGAGGCAGACATGAGAATATACTAAGGTCCTATTGAAGATGTGAGAACTCTGGGAAGCTACTGCATTTAAAACAGGAATGTGACAAGATCAGATATTCTTTTTTTTTAAAGATTTTGCCTTCAAGGCTACAGTGCAGTGGCAGGATGAGAGTAACTCAGGCAAAACCCAGCAGACACCTCGAGTTGAGCACTAGTTTAGGGTTCAGGGAGACCAAGGCAGGCAGAGTTTTCAAGACAGAGTACCTGAAAGGAAAGAGCCTGCACCTAGAGAGAATTCTGGAGGTCCATGGAATGTTCTCCCTCAGGTATTCAGCACGGCATTGATCGGTGTGCAAGGAGAGTACCCCAAAAAGACACCAAAGGATCAAACTGTTTCTAGATAACTGTATCTCGTTACAAAGCTTGAGAATATGTATGGAAATACAAAACTGTCAAACACCCAGCACAGTAAAATTCACTATGTCTGGCATGCAGTCAGAAATTATTAGGTGTGCAAAACAGAAGAATGTGACCAATGAGAATAAATTTTAACCTGTTAAAACTGACCCACAGTTGATAGAGATGTTAGGATTAGCAGGTGAAAACGTTAGAACGGTACTTCATCTGTTCAGAAGGTTAAATAGAGGAATGGAAGAAAGGTTTTTTTAAACAAATTGAACTTCTCGAGATGAAAATAAATATAAAGTATGAAAAAGTGGAACGGGCCCATATCACAAAAATCATGAATATTATGAAAGTTTTCAGAAGGACTTAGACTGAAATTGAAGGATGGCTTAGTATTGTTCATTTGTCCATTCATCCCCAAATAAAGTGTCATTTTCATATAGTTTATATCAAAATCCAAATGGTATATTACTAAGTAGTTCCACTTCTAGGAATTTATTCTGATAAAGTTAAGTTCCTATGTACAGATATTTGTCACAGTATTATTTTCATCAGGGAAACATGAGACCCACATAAAATAGCAGAGCAGTTAAGTAGTGTATGTTATTTCCTTAAAATGGAATATTAAAATGAATGATTAAATTACATTGTAAGAGAATGCTAACAAGTGGGAAAATGTTCAGAATGATCTTGACTATGATATGTAAATTTTAGATAGATACTAAATGAGTGGTAGAATATAAACCAAGGTATAGAAAAGTTATGTGGAGGGAGGTTATAAATTTAAGTTTGTAGAGCTAAGTAAGGGCAGTATTATATGCTGGTTTTCTAGTATTACATGCCAGTTTTCAAATCTAGGAATGTTGTGCTGTTCTTTGGCGTTACGCATTATTATATGAATTAAAAACAGAAGTATTCATGTGCATTTTTTAAATGTTACAAGATTTTATTCTTAACATTTTCTTGTCTTTTTCTAGTCCTACTTGAGATTTCAAGAATTTTGAATACTGGATTAGATATGGAAACTCTGTCTATATGTGTGCGGCTTTGTGAACAAGGAATTAACCCAGAAGCTTTATCATCAGTTATTAAGGAACTTCGCAAGGCCACAGAAGCCTTAAAGGTAGAGATGCATATGTTTACTCACTCTGAATGAAGATGCTTTTGTTTAGAAAAAATTAATGCTGAAATTTTATGTGAATGATTCTAAACAAGGTTAAACTAACATCTGTCATCATCAGGAGGAATTCTGAAGGCCAGGATCTCAGTAGTGTTTGTTCAGATCACAAAATTCTCTATCTGAACTGTGTTGTCTTTTTGTAGAAGTCTCTGATTATGTTTAGAATTCTGCTTTTGTTGTGGGTGATATTGTTTCTACCCCCCCAAAAAAGATATGCTTAAGTGTGCAGTACCTGTGAATATACCATGTTTGGAAATAGTGGATCTGTGAAAGTGAAGTCGCTCAGTCGTGTCCGACGCTTTGCAACCCCGTGGACTGTAGCCCGCCAGGCTGCTCCGTCCATGGGATTCTCCTGGCAAAAATATGTAGTGGGTTGCCATTACCTTCTCCAGTGTATCTGTAGGTATAATCAAATTGACTAATCCATGGCTAATTCATTTCAATGTATGACAAAAACCACTGCAATGTTGTAAAGTCATTAGCCTCCAACTAATAAAAATAAATGGGAAAAAAAAATGTAGTGGGTTGCCATTACCTTCTCCAGTGTATCTGTAGGTATAATCAAATGGACGTGAGATCATAATGGGTTAATGACCAATGTCCTTATAAAGACAAGGGAAATTTGGACACAGATACACAAAGCATGTACCATGTCAGGACACAGAGGGGATGCTGTGTGATGACAGAGGCAGAGATTGGAGTGATGGCGTTCACAGGACAGAGAAGGCCGAGGATTGTTGGCAGCCACCAGAAGGTGGCTTTTGTCTTTTGTCTACCCTTTTGTCTTTCCTTTGAGGAGACATGCCATTTACCTATAACACCAAAAGGTAAACAAGGACATTGACAGAGCAGAACTGTATAATAAATAGAGCATCTGTACAGTTCTCATTGTCAGCTCCCTAGAAGTTCCCTTATGCTCCCCTGTCACTAACCTCTCTTTCCTGCTCCCCATTCCAATAACTACTGTCGTAATTTTTATGATAGAGACTTTAACATTTTCACTGACTAAGCATGGATCACTAAACACCAGTTTAATTTTGTAAAAAAATTTTTAACTTGCTGTCAAAGTGAGATTTTACAGCAGTTTCTTTTTTCCACTGAGTTTTTTCATTTGACATTATTTTTGTGAGGTTCATTTCTGTTGTATGTAGCTGTAGTGCATTCCTTTTCACTGTAATAATCATATTTATCTTTCCTACTATGAATGGATATTAGGTTGCTCCCTGTCCAGAGCTATCATGAACATGCTGCTCTGAGCTTAGTTGTCTGTGTCTTCTGATACATGTATGTGGGCATTTCTTTTGAGTGTGTATCTAGAACTAGAATTGCTGAATCATAGCTTATGTATATCTTCAACGTGAAGAATTAAGGCCAGACTTGACTACAGTGGTTATATGAATTTGTATTCCCACCAGCAGCAAATGAATTTCCCTTGCATCTCATCTTTGTCTATACTTATTATTGTCAGTGTCTTTAATTTTAGTCATTCTGGTAGCTGTGTTTGGATTTCTTCTTGTGTATTAGCATTTCTATGAGTACCAGTGAGATCAAATGAATTTCTTTTTTTTTTTAATTTTTTTGGCCATTTTCTTTTGTGAAATGTCTTTTCATGTAGCCTGCCCATTTTTCTGGGTTATCTGTCCTTTTCTTCTTTGTGGGTAGTCTTTGTTTAAATATTTTGGAAATGAACTTTTGTCAGATATAGATGTAAGGCTTCTAATCAGAATTTTTAAGTAATTATGAAAACTATTCAATTTTCTGTTTCTTTTTTAAAAAGTATTTTCAATTGGAGGATAATTGCTTTACCATTGTGTTGTAAACACAGTTTACAGTTGTGTAGGCTGGTTGGATGGCATCACCGACTCAATGGACATGGGTTTGGGTGGACTCCAGGAGTTGGTGATGGACAGGGAGGCCTGGCGTGCTGTGGTTCATGAGGTCGCAGAGTTGGACACAACTGAGCGACTGAACTGAGGCCTCTGCCATACAGACTTGAATCAGCCACAAATGCACACGAGTCCCCTCCGTCTCAAACCTCCCCCCATCACGGAGCACCAAGCTGAGCCCCCTCTGTTGTCCAGCAGCTTCTGTTTCTTTCTTTAACTCAGCAACTGTTGCTTTCACAGGAGAGAAAGAAAAATAACTACATAATACAGTAAGAATAGCTAGTGTTTACTCTACTTTTGCTGAACTCTCCCTGCATTGTTTCCTTTATAGTCAATGCAAGGATGTTTACTACGACTACTAGTAATAGTTTACCCCTAAGGAAACAGAAGCCGTGGTGGCTAACTTACTTCTCCCCAGACTTACAGTTAAGTGGTTGAGCTAGGATTTGAGCTCAGACCCTCTGATGTCAGAGTTGTTACCTGCTAAGTTTCTGCCTACAGTAAGTTCTAAAAAATATCTGAGCCTGCTATTTGAAAAGCATGAAATGATTAAAACCAAACCAGTGGATTGGAGCCCAAGTACCTTCCCTGGCTTAATACTGTCTCATGAAATAAGAGGTATCATAGCCTTTTATTAGTAAATTTCTGAAATTTCAGTGGAAGAGGATTTATTTAATATACATCTTCCACAACCACAAAAATGTTTATTGAGCTATGCTGAAGTTTGAAAGGGAATAGGGAGGCAGAAGAGCAAGAAATTTTTGTATTAACGCAGATTGACTGATGTGAAGGAAGCGGAGACAAGTAACCTAGCTGGAAAGATAGGGGGCAGACAACATAGCTTCTTAGACTAATAATCAATGTATTAGGAGATTCAAAAGTGCCTGTTTAACACAACTTTTTCAGCTTTGACGTACCGGTTTTTCCACATTCAGTGGATTATAATGAACTCCGAAGGCAAAGTCAATGCAGTAACTCCGCTACACAGCAAACTTTCAAGTTGTGAACGTCAAGTGTTAATGAAATTGCAGCTTGCCCTCTGCCTCCTGTTGCCGACCATCCTTCAGCTATACCATCTCCCACATCCTCTCCCTCACCATAAGTAACTCTTGCCTGTTCACTCGATGCCGTTCCCTATGTGCTAGCCACTGTCCTGTACTTTCCAAGGTGCTGCACTGTTAGATTCAAAATGCTTCTTTATTTTTTGTGTTTGTTTTTTATGTATTATTTGTGTAAAAAGTATTATAAACCTAAAATACAGTTATACAGTTATAATAATACTATTATAAACCTATAGTACAGTACTATATTGTGTCAGTTGGGTACTTAGGCTAACTTTGTGGGACTTATGAACAAATTGGACACTCTCAGTAAAGAACTCATTTGCATGTAGGGGACTTACTACAATTAAGTTGAACAAAAATCAGAAAGTATTGCCCATTTGAATGGAAAATAAGTCTCATACACACACAAAGCCTCTTAAAACACATTTCTCCCTTCATCTAAAATTGGTATACCAGACTCTTTCTAAAACTAGGTAGGGGAAGAGATCGTGAAAAGTTTCCAATAGAGAAGAAATGTTCATTAGAACTTTTTCTTGAAAGTAATGTTTGAAATCTATGTAAGTTGTATAAAAGTAATACATGTTGGTAATTTTTAAATATTTAGATCAGAAAATACAAAGAAGGAAGCAAAAATCATTCAAGATCACCAGTAGATAACCACTGATAATATTTGGTTAACATCATCCTAGCTGGTCTCATGCTACTTTGAAAACAAATATATTATAGTTAATCTCATTGAATTAAAAATGAATAAACTTCCTCAGGTTGATTCTCTCCAGAGCAAAGTCTGTTCTCTCCTAACTGCTCCTGCTGGGTCTGGGTTGGGAGCTGGTTGGTTCAGAACTGCACTCAGCCACACCTGTCTTCTCTTGACCGCCTTACCCTGCCTCAGCCTTAGTGCCTTAATATGCATAGGTTCTCTTGTGTGGTTGCTGCTTGTGAATTTTTTTCCTCATATTGTTTGTTTATTTCTCTTAGTGTGATAAATAGAGTAAGGAGAAACTCTTCTTGCTGCATTTATTATCTTTACCTAGACATCCTAGTGATTAGAATTGAATTGTATGGTACTCATCTCTCTTTTAGACCATGTACAATATAAATCAAGGATGTGATGAAATGTTGCAAGGAATTGTTGCTCTGAAACGTAGTTTTTTCTTCTGTTCTTCAATATGAAGAAAATTATAATAATTTTACTAATTATTTTGTTTTTCTCTTTCAAATCTTTTAGATTTGTGTATAGGTGTTGTATTTTGTATGTATCCATGTCTGTGTGTGTATATTATAGTCAGAGCAGCTAGTTGTGTGTCACCCAGATAGATAAATTTCTTAACAGTGATAGACAGATTGCCTTGTGTTTATTTGCCACAGCATAAATAGAATTGTTAATCACGTGTGTTTCTTTTAAAAATAGACTTTATTTTTATGAATGTTACTTTTATCAACACTGAATTTTTGTGTTGTCTCCTCAATGCTAGTATTTATGTGTTGGCAGTCATTTATAGATTGTGATTTCAGAAATTGTGGGCAAACCTCATTTTCCCATATTTTCTACTTTCTTGCCATTGGTGCCTTGAATTACACACCATCGGTGACTTCAGACCCACTAAGCCTCGTGTTTTCTTTTGAAGCCGTCTTGTACTATCACTGATATCTTAGAGTATGTGATGTATCTCCTCACTGTAGCATGAGGACATTGGCGCTGTAGAATCTGTAGTTGGCAGAGAAATGAGGGACGAAGTAAGTCCCGTGTCCCACCCATCCTCACAACGTAGGGAATAAATTGGGCAATGGAAAGTCTGGAGAGAAGACCTCTAATGTGGGTTTTCCCCAGGACCACTGTATATGCACTTTTGGAGTCTTTTAATGACTGTCTGGAAACTGTATGAGTTTTTAGGATGGCTGTCTTCCTTTCAACTGCAAAGTAGTTCCGCACACATTTAACATTAATGCTCCACAAGGTTGACGGCTTGCCTACTTCAAATGAAAAGACATATTGCACTGTATCTTGGGAGAGGAAGCTCTAAAATTAGTATGAAAATCGGAGCAGGGAGAAGACTGCTTAAAGTGTCATAAGAACCTATAGGGTGGAAAGAGGTAAGAAGCTTTTTTGAAAAGAGGGCAATTTTTGTTCAAACTAGGTCCTAATTCTTGTGAATAGGAAACCCAGGAAGAGAAAGATGAACAACCAGCTATATAGAAAAACAGGGCAGGTTCTGTTGACAAGAATGTTTCATATTTAGTTATCTACAACTTTCCCAGTATCTTAAGGAATTTCCTTGAAGGACCTCTGAACTTAGACTGAATATTAAAAAACAAGTTTTAATTAGGAGATTGAAATATAAATGAATTGAGTTTACCATGTACTTCTAAGATTAAACTTATTTAAATTCAACATTTCCACATTTGGCCTTGAGAAATTGCTTGTTTAAATCCTATCTTTTAGAAATGCATATAAAATAATTTTCTGATGAATGATAATGGTGTCTGGAAATTTCTACAGAATAATCAGGGAAAGGGTAACGGATGGTGGTTTCGGTAAAGCTGTATTAGCCACATATTCATTATTTCTCTTTTGCCTTTTTTATTCCTTTGCATTACAGCATAACAGAAAGGTCTTTTTCGTTCTTGATTCCCTTTTTGCACTGTAATGAAACATATAGAAACAAACTAATAAAGACTGTGGATGAGGACTTCTATAAGTTAATTTTTCAAGTAGTGCTTGCTATATTTTTACATTAACTGTTATTTAAGATTATATAGCAATTTGGACTTCCCACATGGTGCAGTGGTAAAAAACTTCACCTGCCAATGCAGGAGACTCAAGAGACATGGGTTCAATCCCTGGGTTGAGAAGATAACCTGGAGTGGGAAATGGCAACCCACTCCAGTACTCTTGCCAGAAAATTCCATGGACAGAGGAGCTTGGCAGGCTGCAGTCCACAGGGTCACAAAAATTTGGACACAACTTAGTGACTGAGCACAAACACAGTAATTTTCTACTGTTAGCCTAGCAATCAGTCCAAATGGTAGTTCTAATAATGTACTGCAAAAAGTGAAAACTACTGCATCATCCTGATAAAAGTGCTTTGCTATATGTGGGGGAAGAGTTGTTTGTTAACGACAGTACAGTATTGACAAATGTATTTCCATGGTGTTTCCCCCCACCCCGCTATGATTTTGTTATACTGAATCATACTTTTTTGTTCTAGGCTGCTGAAAATATGACAAGCTGACTTTCTGAAGAAATCCTGATGGGCTGTGTCAAGCTGTGTAAGAAGATTGAAGGTTGCATTGTAGTCAGGAACATACGATGAAATCACTGCATGTAGCAATGTGGAAACGTTGTCCTTTTTAAAAGAATTATAAATCCATAGCTTTATAAATCAGTGGAAAGTGGCTTACAGAGAAAACTATCAGTTGTGTTTACATCACATCTTTTTTTTTTTTCTTTAACTGCTCTAATGCTTTGGCATTGCTGTGTTCATATTTATGTATTCCTAATTTATAGCTCTGATAGCTTTAATTTTCTAAGCAGTCTGTCTATCAGATGTGCACATCTGCTGTGCCTGGGTGAACTATAGTGGAACCCATCAGCAGTAATGTTGTAGTTAAGACTTGTTGACATTTCCATTATAAACTTAAATTTTGAATTGTTTATGCAAAATAACTGGATTTATGTTGTATTAAGCTGAAAGTTGACAGAATTTCCGCTGCCATGTGTGGATTTTTTATTTAAGATTCATTATGCATATCAGAATCTTATTTTTTATAAGAACATGGAAAACGTGTTGTTAATCTGCTCTTTAACAAAGAATATTTCTTTTTTTAAACATCAAGTTTGAGTGGCAGTTAGTAGTGTTACCCAGATCATATTAATATTGACTGAAGAGTAAAACTTTTAGAAAACTGAAATTTTAAAGGTAATGACAATGCTTAGCTTAGTATTTGTCATTTGATTCATTTAAATTTAGGGAAGATATTAATTGAGAATGTTTTTCTAAGTTTTTAATTCATAATGAAACAATTCCAACATGAAAAGTCTTTTTACTTTTGTTAAATAAAAATAATTTGAGTGCTTACTTAATAAAATACCTTGAGTGGTTATCTAGTAAATCAGCAAACAGGTGGTGACATTCAGTAAATAATGTTACTATTTTCTGAAGGAATAAAGATTTCCAGTCATTAAAAACTAAAGAATCACGTTTTCTGCATCAGGAACTCTGAATATGCCTTTCTAAGATCATTTTTGTGTGTCATTATTTTTACCCTGTAAGTTTTAACTAATTGAAGTAATGGTTCAAAATAAAGTTTAGAAAACTTAGGATAATATGGTTTCTGTTCCTCTAACAGAATTTCCATGAACTATTTTTTCCCAAGACTACTACAAATTTAATCTGATTTTTTAAGATTGTGTTAGCTTTCCAGTTAAATGGTAGTACAAGCATATACTCTTTGGTAGCATATTTTGTTCTTCAGACAAACTAAAGTGATTTTAATAAGGCTTAATAATATTTAATGGCAACCTTCTGTTCTATTTTTAAAATCTAGTCTTTTGACTACGTTGACTTTTGAATGGTGGCATCTTTACCAAGTACACTGAATGTCTGTTACAGGGAGAACAGGTTGGGAGACAATAAAGGTTTTGATTATAAGTCATCTATATGATTAAAAAACATTGCAGACACTGCATGTTGTTACTTATATAAAATCAGAAAGAAAACACTCTTGTCAGGCTCCAAAATTTGTATATACTTTTAGGTCATAAGAGTTAATAGTTTTATTTATAACTTAGAGATTATGTTATTTATGTATGAAACAAAGCAGGAAAATATATTGAGAAGGAGTTCTGTTTACAGAGGACTTTAATGTGTTACATTTCTTAAATGTAAACGTATTTTTAATGCATACTTAAATAATGCTTAAGGAAACCAAACAAAGTAATGATACAGTTGCATTGTTGCGCATGTTGTCAGTGTCCCAAATAAAACCATTTTGGTGATATCAGCTTGTACTTCTGATTTAAAGTATGTCTCTGTGAAATCAACTTGTGTTTCTATAAGTATTTGGTAAATATTTAGATGCTTTTTTGGAGAAGGACATGGCAACCCACTCTAGGATTCTTTGCCTGGAGAATCCCAGGGACAGAATGCTTTTTAGTTATGTGTAGTTGAAGACTGTTTAAAGGTAGGGTTTATAATTTACAGTTTAAAATTAGGCTTGAGGTAGTAAAATGAAATACTTTTCCCCTGGTAGTAAAAGGCGATAGCTGTAACATTTACCCAGGCTTAAAAACAAAGTTGATGTTTGAACAAGGTAAGATTATGTTTTTCTGTATTTAAAATAAGAGCTTTCCATAGTGGACAATATGAAACTTACATGTTTCAAACATACTGTATGTTTTTTAAACATATTTAAACTAAAAGTTTACTGTCTCACACTGGCCACATTTTTTGTTGTAGTACAATGTACACAACATAAAACTTCACATTTTAACCATTTGTACAGTTCAGTGACATTAAGAATATTCACTTTAACACCTTCCTCAACAATAGAGCCCAAATCTTTTTAGTCATGGTTTAAGTGACAGTGGGATCTCTGTTAGGAAACTTTGGGCTGAATTGTGTTTCCCTAAATGCTATGTTGAAACAGTAACCTCCGGTTACTCTAGAGTGTGATTATATTTAGGGTAAGGGCCTTGAAAGAGGTGGGTAAGTTGAACATGGGTCTTCAGGGTGAGGACTCACCCGAGCTGACAGCTATCCCGTCCGGACACACACTGACACCAGGGCCGCGTGTGCACAGAACAAGCCCTGTGAGGACACATCAAGAAGGCAGCCGCCTACCAGCCAAGGAAAGGGGCTCCAGACAGGAAGCCACCGACAACTTCGTCTTGAACTTCCGGTCTTCAGAACTGAGGAAATGTCTGTTTAAGCTACCCGGTTGGTAGTACTTTTTTATGGCAACTGTAACAGACTAATAAAGGAACAAATATAAAGTGCCTGTTACCGAAAAAACCATTGTAGTCAATCTAAAGCAAAGCTGAACAAACTGGGAAGATGATATAGGCTTTTTTTTTTCTTTTTAAAGCAAAGCCTTGATGGCTGCCTTATCCCATGTTGGTGAAGAGGAACCCTATGCTTAGGAGCTCCGCTGAAAATAGCCAGCCATTTGAGAAACCTGTATCCGAAAGAATAGTTTTGGTTGGTGATAGTTCCCAGTACATGGCCCCTGTGGTTTTAAAGACTGGTACAATTTAATATTTAAATTAAGAGGAATCTTTGGGAAAGGGCTTTTATGAGACAAACGTGTATTTCACTAGTACTGAGACCCCATGTAAAGGAATAGAAATTGTTGAACCATTTACATGCAGGCAGCTTGAAGAGTCTCAAGTGGACAGTATTGCTGAGAAACCAAGATGGTGACCCACTGCATTAGGACCTCGCAGAAGAAAATAGATTAATAAAAGTGCTTTGATATTTACCAGTGGAAAGTGTATATTTACACAAACTCCATGCAAATGGAGTTGGATTTTATTTGCATAACAAAATAGATGGATTTGCTTTTCTAAAGACTTCATTACTTGAATCACTTCTGCGCTGTGAATCACTCAGTCGTGTCTGACTCTTTGTGACCCTATGGACGGTAGCCCACCAGGCTCCTCTGTCCATGGGGATTCTTCAGGCAAGAATACTGGAGTGGGTTGCCATGCCCTTCTCCAGGGGATCTCCCCAACCCAGGGATGGAACCCAGGTCTACCTACCACATTGCAAGTGGATTCTTTACCAGGTGAGCCACCGGGGAAGCCCAAGAATACTGGAGTGGGGAGCCTGTCCCTTCTCCAGGGGATCTTGCTGACCCAGGAATCGAACCAGGGTCTCCTGCCTTGCAGGTGGATTCTTTACCAGTTGAGCTACCAGGGAAGCCTGAAACATTTTAAAATGTAATTTCTGTATGTATTTTCCTGGTGGCTCAGATGGTAAACTGCCTGCAGTGCAGGAGATCCGGGTTCAATCCCTGAGTCGGGAAGATACCCTGGAATAAGAAATAGCAACCCACTCCAGTATTCTCGCCTAGAAAATTCCATGGACATAGGAGTCTGCCAGGCTACAGTCCAGAGGATCAAAAAGAGTCCGACATGCTGAGTGACTAACACGATTCAAAAAGCAGATACTATTTTTACATAAATTGCTCAGATGAGGAAATCATTGAGATAAAGAACAGGAGAGAACAGGATTTGTAAGCCAGGGGAGAATTCAGGTAGTCTAGAAAAAGATATTTGTGCATTTTTGGCGTAAACTAGTTAGCTGGTAATCTCCTTGAGTAAGCTGAGTATAAAGATATCAAAAGCTTGAGGAGTTTCCAGAAAACTGTGAGCCCCTCCATCAGCACATCCACCTTGCTGAGGTCAGGTCCACACCACCTCCCTTGGGGATGTCTTGGGATACGTTGATAAATCAAACTACACAAAGTTTCTATGGAATTTTAAATTTAATGAAATTCCTAATACTTGTACAAACAGAAAGCAAACACTAAGCAATAGTGTTAGAAAAGAACCTAATGTGATGTGTAGGCACAGAGGGTGAATCCATAGAAGTAGATTATTCTTACTGAAATGGAAAGTTATATTTAGGTGGGGTGGGAGTGGACTAGAAAGACAGGATGAACCAGATTTATGAACATCCCTGAATTTACATCCCTGAACAACTTCCATCTTCATTCCATAAGGCATCAGAGAAAGGAAGAGACAGGGTGAACTGTTAGGGAATTTGCAAGTGAAGTGCAGGATGAGGCCAGAAGCGGGCACTGGTTAGGAGGCTGTGACAGGAGACAGTAACTCAGGCCTAAGGCTCAAGTTGGTAGATTCAAGAGACAATGAAGAAAGACACATAAAATGTAGTGGCACATTAGGAGGAACGTAGAAAAGAAACTAAAGGGACTGAATTCTTCCCTATCACCTGCTCAGGGATCAAACCCGTGCCCATTGCAGTGGAAGAGCAGAGTTTTAACCACTGGATGACTGGGGAATTCCCTGGTGACGAGTTTTTAACCTGAGCAGCAAAGAGAATGATTTATCAACAAATGAAAATTGGAGAGGGAATCTAATTTTTCCAGAAAAATGAGTATTATTTTAGGAATATCATATTGAACATATGTATGAAATCTCATTTTTGCCTACCTCCCAATCCCCATTACTGATACCTTTTTTTTTTCTATAGTGTTTATCACTCTAATG